AATTATCTTTCAAGTATTTTTTAATATTTTTTTTTTGTTTATCCTCTAATAATAGGCTCATAGAACTGTCATCGTACGAGCATTGAAAGGGCTTGAAGACATTATTGGATTGAGTGTTGTTGATTACTTTTTGAGTGAAAAAGGATGGAAATTTAGTACTCCCGAGGAATCTCCTGGGTGCATTCCAGACACTGTAAATAATGCTCAGTATCTTAGCGAATTATATTTCAAAGCTAATCCTGATTATGATGGAAGGTTTGAATCCAAAATTTCATATATATTTATACATGATTTAATATAATTTCATTAATAAAGATGCTATATTTTAGATACACTGTACCTGTTCTTTGGGATAAAAAATTGCAAATAATTGGTAAACATCGAAATTATTATAACCAGAATAACTTCAATTAAAAATAACTTGACCTTTGCTATTATAGTCAACAATGAATCGAGCGAGATAATCCGTATTTTTAATGATGTGTTCGATGATTTCGTTCCAGAAACAAAGGGCAAAACTTTTTATCCAAAACATCTTGCAAGCGAAATTGACAAAATAAATGATTGGATTTATAACAAAATTAACAATGGTGTTTATAAATGTGGATTTGCTACAACTCAAGATGCTTGTATATACGCAATTTATAAGTTTTTTTTTTTTTTTAATTCTTGGAATTAACTGTTTGCATTTTCTACAACAGATATGAACCATATTGGACCTCTGTTCGAAGCTCTGGATGATGTGGAAGCTATTCTTTCTAAAAATGAGTTTCTTGTCGGAAATACTTTTACTGAAGCCGATATAAGACTTTGGACCACTGTTATTAGGTAATATATCATTATTGACTAGAGAACGCGATAGTTACATATCACAAGCATGTTCGAAAATTACGTAGATTCGATCCAGTTTATCACACGCATTTTAAAACAAACTTGAAAACCATTAAACACGACTATCCAAACATTCTTCGTTGGGCTAGGCAAATTTATAAAATTCCTAAAGGTAATCATTACGTTCTTATTTTATCAAATTAATTAAAATACACTAATAATCAAATTTAACATTTTCAAGTTGCTGACACTGTCAATATGACTCACATCAAAAATACTTACTACAAAAGTATGAAGAACATTAATCCACATGGAATTGTCCCTGTTTACAACGGACCTGGTACGTAGACTTTCATAAGGTAATTATCAAATGAATTAACAAAATTTCTAATTAAGGTTTTTTCCATTTTAATTCTCAGATCTTAATTTATAAGTATGGTTTCGACTTTTGTTTTCTAGCCTATAAGTTAGTTCAAATTCTTTGTAAACTTTTAAGAAAACAGCTGATAAGGAGAAATAAAAAATTTTATATAACTTATCGTTTATATTTTTATATTCAACTATCCGACTAGGAATGTTAACGTTAACCGATTTACCGAACCGATTACCGATGTTGTAAAAATATTTTGTTAAATTTTTCCATGTGTATATTTTTTTGTATTTCGTTATTAAGTGGCTGTGTACAGGTGATCTGGGTTTGGGACCACAGATCGTGGTTTGAGACCATAGATCTTGGTCCAGGACCACCGATCTTGGTTTGAGACTACAGATCTTGGTTTCAAACCATGACAGACTAAAATGTATAAATATAAGGTCCGAACTAATAAAGAGGAAAGAATCCGATTAGAGTTTGTTCAATGCATAATAAATAAGGTATTTTGATATTACCCTACCAGCTAAATACATTCCTTAATAACCCGCTATCATCAATTCCGAATCCCAAATGAACGTTCATCTCGCATAACCTATGCTTGCAACCCTGAGCTAATTTGACCTCAAGTCTCTCATGGTTGCAACACCGACTGAATGACTGTTATAATAATAAAATAATATAAAAAATAAAATAATATAAAAAATAATAATAAAATAATATAAAAAATAATAATAAAATAATATAAAAAATAATAATAATAAAATAATATAAAAAATAATAATAATAAAATAA